CCGATAACTCTTCTATCTCCTTCGAGTCGTCCCTTTAAACCAAATCGAGAGCGTTCTTTAGCGAATCGGTACGTAATCTGTGGAGATCCTCCCCGGCCGCTTCCCCAGGGCATCGGGCGACAGCTGGGCCCTACATCCTTAACTCGGGCAGGAGGTTCCTCCCCTGCCCTTAACCATATCGCAACTTCCTCCGCCCGCTCTACAGCCCTTTGCCCATCTCCAGCGGGGCGCCGGTATCTCACCCGGGCTTCTGCCGGTCCGTGGAGACGTCTCCGTCGGGTACTCTCCTCTGCCGGGCAACTCGGTACGTCGAGACTATCTCCCCACAGCAGATTCGAGCACCTCGACCTCAACTAAACAATGACGAAATCTTACGAGAGCCTTGACGTAACTGTACAAATCAACCCGAGAGCGTAGCTTCTGAGCAGGGTGGCGATCCGAAGGGAACCAGAAATCGAGAACGTTATCTGTATCGCTAACCGGAGCCGCCTTGGGACCGTGATTCGAAAAATCACGTCACAATTTATTATGCAATTGTGTAACAGAATGATTAAACAAGCCACTTACCAGTTTAATGAGAAACGAAAAAGTATCGTGGAATATTTCGCGTTCCTTGAGACTCTGTGATCTGGGTGATTGGGCAACTGAGTCTTCTTTATTAAGAAGAATATTTGAACCTTCGGACGCGGACTCTGGTCCCGGCTCTAGCACATCGACAGGCTTTGATCTCAGACACCGAAATCTATTCCTGGTCTCGACCTGAGAATGTAAAGAGGAAAGTTCGACGTGACACTTGACGTAATGCCAAGTAGAAGGCTATTCGAGTAACACCGAAACTCTTCTAATATCACCTTTATGTTGTTAGGTGTAGTCACCGGCAGCGGTTCTGCTCTCTCGCCGTAGGCAACAGCTGCAGCCACGTCCAGCTTCAAATCTCTTTCCGTTTCACGAAGAAGCTTTAAAGTACGTTTACTTCTTCGATTTCCTTCCTTGGCAGCCTCTTCCCTTGTCTCGTTGTCCCTGTCCTTGTCCGCTTTGTCGCACATCTCACTGAATAACAAGGTATCCAAGGTGTTGCTACGACTCAGCACACTGGATCTTCTCGTTTCTTTTTGGACTGGAAGCCTGGTAAGAGATAAATGTTCTCTTTAAAATTTACATTCGGCATTTTCTCTCTTGAAAGCAATAAAGAAGAGCAATAAAATTATAGCTCACCCCCCAACTTCTTTCTGTCTTCTTTGCCTCTGTCGTCGATTCAATCGCGTCCTAGGGGGCGTCTGACCGTAAAGATCAGTCATTAGCTGTAGCGTTTCTTCGAATTCGGTTGTAGGACTCAAGCACTGTTTGCTGCGACCAAAAATATTTTTTATTTCGATCTAGCTAGCCGAAATCAGTTTTCTCGACAATATTGTCTGCTTCTTTGTAATTTTACAAAATTAATTTTCTCTGCCACGTCGCGCCTAACGTGAGAGTAGAAACTAGAGTAATTTGCTTTCTATTTCTCGAATATCGTTTGAACCTTCCGTGCTATTTTCGGAATCCGTTACCACGAGAGACTGTTATCACCTTTTCCACTAAGCATCTCTGTAAACAGCCAATCGAATTCTAAGTACGTGTAAAGCTCGCAGCATAAAGTAACGTATATTGCATAAGACAGCCAAAAACTACAATTCGTTAAATACACTAGTGTTTGGAAGGAATTACGCAAGAATTTCAGGCAGTGTCTCGACGTAAGCGACATAAATTTATTAAAAGGAAATTCGTAAAATTTTTGGTATCGATTTGAATAATGGTAATTAAAAGTTAAACGACCTTGATTTCAAAATAAGGATCCTTACCGGAGAACAGCATTTCAGAAGAAACTCAGAAAATTTTCACTCGTTACATTATGACTCTACGCGGCACAAAAATGCAATTATCACCAAGTGCTTATCATCCTTGTCAACGTAACAGAATTAAACGCCTCTCGCACTTTTGACGCTGGCGAAACGTCAATGATGAGACCATAGGAATTGGTAGGAATACGTTGAGAAATGGGGTTAGGTACAGAGGCCGGCTTCGTTCCAACTGTCAAACAATCAGAAGAAAGAAGGAGCCCAGTCACGCGCTATGTAAACAAGGGTATCTTACACATCCTAGGAAGACGATTCCCGCCGGTTTCTATTTCCAGAATCCGGATTCAGTCTTACAAAATCTAAGCGAAGACCAGCAAGAAAGACTGTCACTACCTGTCGTGTTCATCTTCGCCTGAGCTGTCAATGACAAAGGTGCCATCCTGTTGGGTATGCCACCGACGACGATCCGTAGACATCTTTTTCGGTCCCTGTTGGCTGTCCCTTGTGCGTCTTCACACTTTTGATTTCTTTTTCATCTGAACAGGAAACAGGTGTGACCTGCAGTTAGCGCCACTGTCGCATGACAGGTGTTTCCCGGTAACGTCATAATACAACCAGCGTCACGTGACAGGGCGCCAGATTCAAATTGCATCCGGTATCCAGTGTCAACTTCAACTTCAATCTTGTAACTCGAATCACTTTGAAGATTGTAGAAAGTCCACTAAGCCATTTTAGTAAGAGAACGCGAGACTCCAAGCTCCATCAATGCAGCCAATCTGAAAAGTGAAAAATTTCTTAGGATCTCAAGTAACTAGACAACAAAGTTGTTTCTCCTTAAGATGAACCTAGGAAAGAGAAGGTATAATGATTGTTACCTAATCGTAAGATATGATTTTTATTTAAACAATCTCTAGCTTCCTCAGCAAAGTACAAGTAATTTTCATATATATCCTCGCACCAACAATTTTTAATATATATAATATCTATGCATCTCCATGCTCGGCGGTTGCATAACGTGTCTCTCCATGTGGCGTGTACTTTTTTCAAATAATTTTTCACGTGTTACGTGTATTTAGACCTTCGAACGCAATAATACTGCTATAGACCTTTGCCAAGTATGAAACAAATAGAAAAGAAAAAAAAGTCAGCCTCGGAATATCTCGGCTATTAAACCATAAAAATATTCTTCCTCAATTTCACGCACACATACACTAACTGATATACATACACAACAAAACTCTCTCTCTCTTCCATACTTTGCGTAGGGATTTCCTGAAAGAAACAAAAATGATTTAGCACCGTGTAACCCTCGACCGCGAATCGCTCGGATCCTATCAAACGAACCCTCTGATCATTTAAATGTCTCTCCCTGATATTTCCTTTGTCTCTCATGGAGCTACCATGATCAGCCGCTAGTAGCGTCCGAATTTCAGCAAATTCGTAGGAAAAACGAACAAACTTTCATTTACATATTTACAAATCGCATTACGAGGGTCGATAACAATTTTCAGCTAGATATGCATGTGCACTGACCTAGTTAAGGAAACTAGAAGAAACCAGAGAAAAGTAGAAGCATAATCGACTGGGAATATTCAAACTTATTCGAACAACTTGGCGGCCATTGCAATTTATCGGACGTCATCCGTTTCTTTCTTTCTTGTTATTAACGTTATAAGGCGTGTGTGGGCGAATTAATTATAAATAATCAAGTATTCGTCTCTATTGTTATTGACTGTGATAAAGTATGTCTCATTCTCCATTATTATTTTTTTCTTTCTTACGGATGAGCCCGATTGTTGTCCTGGGTGCTTTTCGCTCTTCAATTATATTTTCCCTGACTTTTTTTTTTAATCTGAATGTTTCCAACGGGCGATCGCGCGCGTTCTAATCTCTCTCTTGGAATGTCTCAACGATACCGCCGTCTCCGATATTTTCCTTTGTAACAGCATTTTGAGACGTTGTTTGAGAAGACGAAAAAAACCGAACAAAAATCGAAATTCTCTCTTTTACCTTGAGTCACAACGTACAGTTTTGTCCGCGCGACGACTTGTACTCTAAGAATTAACTCGTCCTACTTGACGCGTGTCATTGCTCAAATCTTACGAGTAGTAATAGATAATTATAAAATGCTTTTGCTTTAGTTCATTTTTTTTTTTAATATTATCTCGATAGTAATAATAACGCTACTAAACTGTAAATATTAATATTAATAATATATAATAATAACGCTACGAATTTGTAAATATTAATATTAAATATAATCAAAAAATATCTATCGTTATTCCTTGTTTTGCAATAGTAACGTGTAGTGGTAGTAGGTGGTGGAGTTTGTAGTGAATGTCGTGTGTTGGTGGTGGTAGTAGCAATAGCACTGTATAGAGTAGTGACAATAAAGAGAAAAATATTAATAAGAGTGATCGGTTAATTGAAATTCTCCTCGCTTTATCCTTTCCTTCCTTGACAATAAATTGATGCGAAGATCATCCCATACCGTTTAAACCGTTTTGCGTTTCCCTCGCAACTACGGTTAAAAATTGGCAGCATTCAAAGATTATCTTAAGTTGCGTTAGTTTTTATCTTTCGCTTTTATTATTTTTTTTTACTTCCTTAAATAAACTGCTCTAAAAATTACAAGGCGTACCAAGCCGCCACACTATATTTTTTCCTCTTTTTCTCTCAAGCACACACACTCACCCTCATTCATCCCTTTATCACTCACGCACTTTTACGCTCTTCTCTCTCTCTCTCTCTCTCTCTCTCTCTCTCTCTCTCTCTCTCTCTCTCCTCGCGCCTGATCTTATACGCTTTCAGCCATTATATCAATCTGGCAACCATTCGATCTTACGCAACCGTGATAAACTAACGTGCAACGCTTTTCGAAAAGGGCAACTCTGCCCCTGGCACGGCCACTTTTTACCTTTATAGGTACTAAAAATGCCGCGAATCTAAAATAACACCTCGGTACGTGTTCGCTATGACATTTGTTTATCGTATTATCGTATATTAGTATTTAGTACTTTGTTAGATCGATAAAGGCCACGAGTGTTCATTATAAAAACGCTAATCAGTAATCATAATCCGAGCGCACTATGATGTAAAATACAGTTTACAAGTGGTTCGCGTTTTGGGGAAAAAAAAAAAGAGGAAGGATAATGCAAAGTTAAGAAACTTTCTTTTTTATATCCATTAAATGTGCATCACTTAGTTTAACGAGTGCATCGTGCTTCACGCCGGATTGCCACTGTAGCATCTTATTCCTTTCTCTTTCGCCATACACACGCGCGCACATTCTTTTATTTTTTTGTTTTTTTACAGTATTCACTCTTATTTTCCCTCTGACTTTACCTGATCCAAATGACAGGTAATTTTGTCAACGAAGTATTTGATACGAAGGAGAAAAAAGAGAGTAAAATCGATCACTTTGCAAAGGCCGTAACAATAACGGAGAGACAGTAGAAGGACGAGATAATGGAAACGACAATGGAGGACAAGTGCAGCGAAGTTTTTGAAAATACGATATAAGCGGCAAACCGGCGTTAACGATGACCACTCGTCGACAAACACGAGTAGTGTTTAAAATTAAAAAAAAAAAAAAAAAAAAAAAAAAAAAAAAAAAAAAAAAAAAAAAAAAAAAAAAAAAAAAACAAAAGGAAAATATAAGGAAACATAAACGGAGGAAAGGACAGGGGGTGTAAAGGTACTGAATACTCATTAAGGACGCAGATTGAAAGTGACCGAGTGACCACTGAGAAATTTAACAGACATCCTTTCATCTTCTGGTCCTAAGTTTCTCTCTTTCATTTCTTCGGATCAACTACGTGAAACTTGACGACGCCATTATTGCATATATTTTACGTCCAGTTGCAATATTTTTCGATTCGTCTACCGTTTTTTTTTTTTTTAAACAAGAATACTGGCACTCCGGTATGACGCACGTACCGATTAGGTTCTCGAATTCTAAACCAGTACGTTAATACAGAAGACGGCGCGATGAGCTGTCCTGTAGGCCAAACGCGAAAGATCATGAAGTCGTATGGACAGCAGGATCCTCAGGAATCTTCCGAGCAAGTAAAACGTACCGTGAAGTGTAAGGAGGAACAACTGTAAGCACGAGTTCCGAACTGAGCCAATCGCTGTGGAGAGGCGAAGAGGCACACCGCGGCAGGTAAGTATAAAAGTTTCATCGAGAATAAAAATTGATGACGCTATGAAAACTTCTTCGAGAATTGAATTGTCAGCGAATGGACCTGGTTCGTTTTGCATTAGCGTGGTACGCTAGATGCTCGATCGCGGAGTCCATTGCTCCCATCTATGGCTATGGTGGCGCTTTTACTGCACTCCAGCAGTACGGACGATGATTGTGAAGGATAAAGGTTCATTTTTAAAGTAGGCTTAGTGATCGTGCATAGGATCGGGGGATAATTTACATGTTCTCGAACTGATCGACACGACGCTTGGTGTTGCCTTTGCGAATTTCACGTAGGGTCTTGTATTTGTCACGACCCTGGCGAACGTTTTCTCTGTGAATTTTGTCCATCACTGTCTCCTTTGTCTCGTCTCGCGATTGAGCGAGGTCCTGCTTCAGGGCCTGCACGAAAACGAACAATGCAAACTTTAAGTATTTTCCTTCTTGAGAAATTCGTCCAAAGTGAAACTCTTTACCATGAGAATATTTACCTTGAGTTGATCATGGAGACGCTCGTTTCTCTCTGCGAGGGTACGTCGTTCTTCGACAGGATCAATAATAGACTCGTCGGTCACAAGTTCCTTCGTGACATCGCCGTGAGGAGTCTCGTCCTCACCTTCCTCTTCGCCTTCCTCCTCGTTCTCCTCCACATGATGATGTTGAGGAGTCGTGCTTGCTTGGAAGGCTCTGTCAGCTTCCTCCTGCCTCAGCCTGGAATGATCGACGGAACAACGTGATCCCTCAATTAGATTGCGAGTGGACACAAAAAATGATTTGCTAATATTTACCTGGCGGCTTCAACCTCCTCCTGCAATCTTCTGGCTTCTGCATCCTTGACCTCGACCTCGGTCTGGATACGCAATACCTCCTCTTGCTTGTCCCTGATCTCTTGTTCTAATTTGGCGCGCTCAGCGGCCTCCATCTCGTGAGAGCGTTCCAATTTCTCCATCATGGCGGTCAATTCCTAATATACAGTAGTTCAATATTATCAAATAAAATTAGCTACGAGATTTTCATTAATCTTCAACGGAAAGATGACGAACCTTCTGACGATCCTCAAGCTCCTCCTTGGCCGCCTGCAACTGTCTCAGTTGCTCCTCCAGACGACGTATCATCTCCTGAGCTTCGTTCAGCTCAGCCTGCCGCCTCTCCATTTCCTCTGCCATATTCCTCAATCTCTCCTCATATTCTTGCTGCTTCTTCTCGGCCCGTTCTCGCGCAGCGATCTCGAGCTGCAGCTTTTCTCTCTGTTGCTGCTTGGCGATCTTCTCTTCTCGTGCTTGCGCCTAATAACACCCAGGAAACACGTGTAACTTATGGTGATGGCTTAGGATTTTATTTTCTAAAGTGGGTTAGTCCAGCAGCCTCAGTTAAGGGTTAACATCATGACACTCAAGAGTAGCAAATACACAAGTAAGCATCATAGGCATGGGATTTGACTTTCTTAATAAATATTACACGTTCGTATGTAATTATTTTAACCTTCATCTGCTGAACGTCGATGGTATCTGGTTTGCGTCTACGCATGTAGAGCTCATGATTACCCATGCAAAGAGCCAAGATTCTCTTGTTGATCTTGACCCTGGGTGCAAAGAAGACAAAGTCCGGTGCCTTCTTATCGATTGGCTTAATTATGAATTTTCTGTCGTTGAAGCTAATGTTCCTGATCTCGGACCAGGGAAAGCCAATCTTTGGCGTGAGCTTGTCGTCCTTCTCGTAGATATTGAGGCCGAGGGCGTCAACGCCAAGCCACAGTTCAGTACCCTTTTTGTTACGGATCTCAAAGTAGTTCACGCCATACATTTCCAAATCCTATAAAATGACATTCTATCAGTATAGCGAACTCGGTCAGATCGAGTAAATCAAATAAATGAGAAATTAGCATACTTGAGCGATTTTAAGATACTCCATCATGGCATCTTCGCGGAGCATACCACGATGTTCCTGCCACCAGGTGGTAATTGAGCCCTCCCATTCCTCCTTGCTCATCTTGTGCTGATCCATAACACGTTGAGGCAACAGACGATCGTTCGCCAGGAACCCAGCTGTATGAGTTCCCTTCTGGAAGTCACCGTGTCGAGCCTGAACGGCATAGGAAGCAAGAAGAACCGACGTCTCCGGTGGGCAGTAGATTTCATCAGTGAGGATGGCATTTTTCACCTGAACAAAGCCATCGGATAACGTAATATTATTTCCTAGAGACTTAGGACGGAGTCAGAGTAACTATAGAAATCGATAAAGCGTTAACTAACGTAGGCCGTGGGTATTACTAAGTTTCAAGAAAGTTTATCGCAAGTATTCAAAGGAAGCCTGCCTTCTCAGTGGACCGCGATAACGCTCAAGATATCAATGAATTATTTGTGGTACCGCACGTACAAAAACGTTAAGCTTTATTTCCAAGGACGATCGTTACGACGACGCCGTGCGATAATAATCGCAGCAGCAGTGCACTCCTCTAATTCCGCCATGATGCATCAGAATTTTTTAACTTACGTAATTCGAAGGGAGGTGGGAGGTGGGAGGTGGGAGGGGGAGGGGGAATAGGTCTGGGTCACGAGAAATAAGAACGAGATACGAAAGGTAGATCTCCTTCACGAGACGAGATTTCCTGGTTAACTGATATGCGCGATTGACAAATGACGACTCTTGATGAGGCTCGCTGACGAGATGAAGATCTTAAGAGATGATCTGGTTACTTTGAAAATCTGGTAGATACGGGAAGGCTTGACGTACCTGGAGATAAAAAAGGCGAAGAGTGATATCCTGGATAAGCTCCTCGGATACGTCCTCGGGATAGAATTTGGCACGGAACTTGAACTGCAATGGATTCTCTTTCTTGACCTCCTGGTTCATCACCTAAAAACATGAGCCAAAGGTAAACTTAAACTTCACCACGTGCACAATGTATTATTTGACAATTAATAAAAAGGCTACGAAACGAAATCGTTTAAAACAAAAAATGGTTACTCGCTCTTCCGGTTGTTTAACTTTGATTACAAGGACATGCAAAACCATATCATGCTGGCTGATTAAAAAGGAAAAAGAGCGGAAAGGTGAGAATCGTTAAGTAATAATAGAGGGCGATCAGGTGACACATCGGAGAGGCCTGGAGGAGCACACAGCCTCCAGATTCATTCTCATCTTTAAATCAATATATATATATGTATATTAACACACGATATAGGGAATCTCATTCCTTTTCGACTATTTTATTACCAATTGTCAGAATGATCATTGCGAGAGAGAGAAAGAGAGAGATAGCACTGCTATTTTCATGTTCTGAACGGCCGCCAAGTTTCCTTAGCTCTCCTCTCCCGGATGTCACCCGCGAGAGACTCTCCGACGTGGTCACCTTGACCAGGGTGCTCTGATGGTTCAATGCTAGTGACGTCAATTTTCATAATTATTGATAGTTCGCATTGGATTGTGCAATCGGCAATCAGCAATGGTACACAGGTCTTTCTTATAGTGGAGACAAGGAACGTGAATGTGAACAGTGAAGATACGACCGAGTGTTTTGTGCCATTTCCGCTGTGAGATCTGGACAGAAGAAAAATACTGAAATAGGCAAAGAAATTTCTTTTTTTTTTTTTTTAATCTAAAAAAATCGAGTGTCAATGTGCAATTCGAATGAAAGCGTCTGTAGGTTATGAACGACGTTTCTTGCGTAACGACAAAGCACTCAATTTTGTTTCTACAGTCTCCCCAAAAGACAGAGAGACGAAAAAGACCAATAAACGTGAGAAAAAGAAAAATCGAAAACGCTCAACACAGAAACTCGAATTAGTAAAACTCGGTAATCTCTTACGTGCCAAATTTTTCGATGGTTGAACAAACCCACCTGCAAAATTATTCGCCATCGTTTCAGTATCACTCGTGTTTTTTTTTTTTTCGCAGCCATTACGCTTTCGCGGATCGATCTTGGTTCGATCCAAGGACAAATTGACAGATTAGTGATAAGATTTCATAGGAAGATCTTATCAGTCGAAAGTCACGATATTCAAAAGTACATAGACCAATAGTCACGCTACTGGGACTACCAAGGATTGACACACCGTGTCTCGTAGGTAAAACAAAACTGACAGAAAAGAGGGAGATACTGGATGCAACATTTTTGAGCTACATTTCAAAATATTTTTTTTTTGCTCGTTTAAAAACGAGTCAATTATATGAATCAAAGGCATTCTGAAGTTAACCACAGAGGATACCGCCATGCGTCCTGTTTTGACTGACTCTTTACTCTGTACAATTGAATGGAGCAAGCGTCATTCCAGAAGTTCGAACCAGACCACTTAAAATCGTCTTATCGCAACAACAGGATAACTTTTTATCTGACATATACAGAAAATTGATTTCATTAATTAACATTTTTACTGTACCATGATAAATTTAATGGACTCACGCTCAGCTCGTTTTACGTTTATGCTCGCTCGACGTAATTAATCATAAATAGACATCCGGTATACGTTATTCGTGGACTGATACGAATTCTCTAAATCGGCCTACATTTAACAATAAGTACGTTTGGACATGCATGAAAATGTTATTGTCAAATTTTTCGTATGGCTTACCCTAGACAAGAACGAAAGTCCACTCTTCCAGTTGTTAGTATTGCGGTGGGCATGCGTTCAAAGAATGGAAATACGATAAAGTTTAAGTACGATATAAAGTAAGAGCGTCGATGGCAAGAGACTTGCCGTGGAAATAACTTAAGGTTACTCCTATAGAATTTCAAACTGTTTCAAGTTGTGTAACAGCTCCGTAATCAAAGATATTTCAACGACAAGACATTGTTCCAACATTTTAGCACAGTTCACGTAAACGTTATAATTTTAAAACTTTTTTAACAGATTTGTATAGATCAATGATTAATTAGCGATTCGTCCTATCGCAAAATAATCGTACGTTTACATGTATACATATAATCAAATATATAACCATCACTGACGTAACCGGTTCGATACGATCTGAACGCCTCGTCTATCTTGGCGCTCAACATACATCGTACCTCGCTCCGTATGTTCTATCGCCGTATGTAAATAATATCGGAATCAGAAAATTAGTATCGCTCGAGCAACGTCCTTCCTTCGTAATAATGGCGGCTGAACGAGACGCAAACACATTTATCGTCGCGTCTCATCGACGGGAGTTCGACTATCGATTAAATAAATTTCAATCACGAAACTCCGGCTTTGTCCTCGTAGAATCTCCGGAAGTACGGGTTTCGCTTTGGGCGTCCAGCCAAATCTCCAACTGATCGATTCGGCCCAGTCTATCCTGCTCCTGCTGTCTCTTCTCTCTCCTGCTTCTTCGGGTACCGTGGAATAATATGGGACGAGTCGACGAAGCCGAAGACTCGAAAAAGCAAACAGTTCCGTTTGGACGTCGATGTCACCGCCAGGTCGGTTTCCGTTCGAAATTCCCAGAATATCCGTACCTCTGCTGTAAGATAATCTTGGACGATTACGTGAGACCAGTTGGCTCAAAGTTTCTCAGTTATAACTTCGTCCAATGGACGTCATTCCTCTTCCTATGGTTCCCTGCGCGTCTCGTTCATTTAGAGTCGAAGAAATAAATCTTGAGCTCTTGAGCAATACCGGTGAACCTGCGGTTTTTCTAGCGAAACATCAGCTTTTCCGCTCGGTCGCAATCTTCCTCGTCGAGCGGCACGCGATGGCCTTGGAGCACGCGAACTTCGTGGCAGATCAGCAAAAGTCCGTGTCGAGCATGGAATTCCGCGGGAAAGAATTGTCAAAAAATCCTACGTGGTCATCCTGCCTCCACGTGACAATCCTCCAATCTACGCACACGACAGTAAGTATTAATGATCAATCGATAAGACGATTATCACACACCGAGTTGATGTAACCAGCACACTTTGTAGCTGAAGAATTGTAACTCGTATACTGTGAAGTCATGCTCATGACAAAAGATAACACGCCGCAGCCTTGGAGTCTTCGCAGCAGGTAGCAGGCAGCAGGCAGCAGGTTGCTGCTGCTGAGGTATGCAGGCATCTGGTGCCAAACGCAGGTAGGCCAGACCCGGGACGTGCACAGGAGAATATGGTGAGTAGCATCGGCACAAGTACGTCATGCGAACCTGCGAATTACGGAAGAGCCAAAAGTTTAGAGTACAGGGTGCCAGTTTGGCGATGCATGTTACGTAAGGTCCACAGTCCTCCAATCGATGTCACCTGCGGCCTCTTCCGTAGATTCATTATTCATTGGCATTGACAGTAAGTAGTCAGAGCCCGATAGGACTCTCCTGGCTCTCCTGGCTCTCCCGGGGCTCTCCTTGGTATTTTCCTCGAGTCGAAGCAGGTCGAACGGCGGCGCGCAGGGTTCGGCCAAACAATAGGCCTACCGAGCTATTTAACGAGTAGCTGTTTAAACGTGGCGATAGCGTCTCAATTGTAAATCCCTGATAAACCACCAGGGACAAATCGTGACGCCATATTCACGTGCTGGCGGCACCGTCTCTTTCCACGCGCTATGCCACCAACTCGCTCGGGACTCGGTAGTCGGTAGTCGGTAGTCGGCTGCAGTCCGAATTGATTCCATCATCTGCCCAGCGTGCTATCGTTCCAGCTGTAAGAAGCCGCTCCGGCGGTCCTGCCGGAGAGTCACTGCCGACGGCGCTGACTCATACGTACACTTTTAATTTGACTCCTCGTGACGCAACACCCGTTTCGATCATTTAAACGAGCAGTGTTAACCAGACAATGCAGACTCTGGCGCAAAGACTCGCTGTTCCATTCAGTCATTACGGAGACGACGCCGTGCCAGATCATCCGAGTAGGCGTCTTCGTGTCGGAGGCAGCGCTCCTCCTCGCCCTCATCCTCATCCTCGACGTCAATGCATCCTGATCTGCATTTCAATTTTCCACGAGCGTTACCACGAACCTTGCGGGCTGTTGCTTCCGAAGCGAGCGGATATTAATAACCGGATCGGCTAGCGTCAAGGCAGACGTATTAAAAGCAATGATAATTAGGAGTTTTCGACAAGTGTGATAGAGGGGGAGGTCAGGGGAAGATCAGCGTTCAGGTGACGGCGCATTTGCATAGAGCGAAACCAGTCGCAATTTCCATAAGACACAGCAGCCACTCCCCTCCTCCTATTCAGCTACCAATCGGCAAGGAACGACGAACCCAACCTCTCGTCAGGACGATCCTGAGCTTCGCCTCGCCGGCTTCTTCCTGGACTTTTGCTCCGAGCTCCTCCGGTTCTTCATCCTTTTTTTCCTTAGTCTCAAAATTTCTAAGGAAGAAAGGTGCACCAGGTCGCACTGAACGAGCCTCTACGTATATTAACGATTCTTTCTTACCAGGTCGTCCTCGAATTCGTCGTCGTCCGTGTCCGAGTCCGAGCAACCTCGTAACTTTCGAACTTTCTTTTTTACCTCCTTCTTCACCACCCTCGTTATCGCGCTCTCCGGCTGCGTCCAATTCGTTCGCATGCATTGCTTAGGTTCATTAATTTCATCTGGCTTTATCTACGACACTATGCCAATACACGGTAGCGACAGGTGTTCAATTTTATTTTTCAAATTTTGTTTTCCTTATTAAATCATTTAGCATTGATTCTCTGCTGGGATTTCTACGATCATTTTTATCGATTGGCAGCTTCTATGCAATTATATACAGAGCGGCAATTAACGTTCAAGGATATTTGGTGATTCCAGGTAAAATACGTTATTAGGAGTATTATCTAGATTGATGACGAGCAGCAGGTTGATATATATATATATATATTTACTTATATGACCGATCGATAATGACGGATTACTTCTGGTACGATACACCTGTTATATATTGATTGGGGAGCAATAAAAAGTAGATACTATAGAATAGTATAGGAATCGAATGACTATAGGCGTTTTTACATGGAATATTAATATTTTGCAAAAAATTCCACACGATTCGTTTCGCGTTCCGATCGACTTTAAAAATTTGACGAAGATGTATTTCCTGCATGAGGACGTTTAACCGCGTAACCGAAATTCCAAGTCGGACCACCTGTCGACCACCTGTTTCCAAATTCTCATGAAACGCGGGACCCTTGACACTTCAGGCATTAGAAACGGGAAGGCAAATACTGAAAGGCCGGAAGTGAATCCTGGTGGGCGTTCAGAGTGTCAGAAAAATCGTTATCCTTATCAAAGTATACAGAGGAGAAATATAAAAACGTATCATGGGTTCCCAGTTACCAAGGAGTTACACGCGTACAAAGTGTTGTTAGTCGTCTTTGACTGTGTCAAGGTGAAGGCGCGTCTCAAGTCCGACTCGCAATCGGAGGTGAAAGCCGTATCCTCAGAAGGAATAACTGTGCTCAAGCGAAGTCACGTACTGCATTGGATTGAAACGACGGACAAAAATGGAATCGATTTTGAAAATCGGTTGGATAAGAGAAAACGGTTAAACGTACCTCGTGCAGTAACTGCAGGAGCCATTTCGAATTCCTCTTATCTGACGAATCGATAATGACTAGTTTTAAGGCGGTGTTCACAGTGCAGTAAAGGAAGTTTACAGACAAACGACGACAAGAATATCCCACGCGTAGGAGATGACATCACTGTTTGATCCAGTCACCCTGCCGTTTATATCGACGTGACATAAGGCCCAGAATTGAACGTTCTCTCGTGGGACCCACACGAGGATGACTTGGGTCGATCGACAATATGCGTAAGCCTAACAGTAACTACATTAAGCTTATCACGTACGGGCTCGAATTTTGGACATTCGTACGAGTAAATATTATCGTAGGAAGCAGCAGAAATAGGACGTTAGGGGTTATAAGATAAAGTGTGATTGTCTCTTCTGGCAAGGATTTACATAGGAAGCAGCCGTCCTACCTTCTTGTAGAGTTTGATCCAGGTCAGGTCACCCTTGTTGTCCGTGTACTGGAGTCCAAAGAACCAGACTTCCCTGAGACCGATCGTCTTGACGACCTGATCAAACAGTTGCTTGCCGGTAGTCGTCTGCTGGATCGCGAACTCCAGCTCCGCGTCCATCGTCGTCACCCGCACGTTCATCTTCATCGAGAACAGAAAGAGAAACAAGTCATTTCGTAGCACGACACCCGGTACGTGGCGTAGGGACGCCAAGGGATAACGGCGTCGAGACAATGGATCACGACGTAAATTTTAAAGACGCTCAACAACGGAATTCACTGGTCAGGAATATTTAATGCTCTCGTGAATAATTTGAAAAACAGAAAAATGCACTCTCCTAGGCACTTTGTATTCTTACCATCTTCGCACCAGCCACCATGGCGAATATCGAATCGAGTCGATCGCGCAACAATCACACTAACCTCTCACCCGATTACTTTTACAGAATATTACAAAGCGATAGCACTCGCGATTCTCTTTCGGTATTATTTAATAAACTGACGCCGTAGTTCCTTGCCGAGTCTCGTAGTCACTTGAAAACACCGCGACGTGTAACGGAAAACTCGAAACGACGCAGCTTGCCGGTTGAGCTCGAATCGAACAATGGGCCAAGGGGGCAAGTGCACGGCGCAACCGGCGTCCGTTCTTTTTTCTTTTCCTTTTCTTCACCCCACCGCCAGCCGGAAGCCGCACTCGGCGTTCTTACTCCTCTACCTTGTTGGCTCGTTCTCGGTTCCTCCAACTTGGCAAAACGACGTCAAGAGGGAGACAGACTGCACTACGGTTGACTACGGTGCGGAAGGGATAACGTGAACGGGCCGGTCCACGGGGCTGCAGCCAATCGACAACGGCTCTGAAGAATACCGGGTGTCACGAATTGAAAGGATCCTCCGAAAAATTTATGGTGAAATATTGTACTCTCCCCTGTGAAGCGTCCAATCGTTCGGAGGGTAGTTCCCACGAAAAGGAACGCGGCGCTGCACTCTAATTTTTTAGTTGCGAAGAAACCCTCTTGATGCCTCTAGGAGTACTTAACCAGAGATTGTTACGGTCTCGCGAGACATTCGCGACTAATTCGTATTTCAGCCCTGATCTGGATTTCAATGTATCTACCTGGTTATCTTATCTTTTGGTAAGTTAAATCGGCAACATAAAGCATGCCGCTGTCGCTGCCTTATCTGGAGAGATTATTGACAATAAGTATGAAAAACTCCATTAGTAGTTGACACATTAGTTTTGCTGTGTGTTATGCTAGAAAAATGTAAAAGTGGGACACTTGTATCTTTCTACTTACCGACTTCGGCATCTTGGCGTCTGCGTCTGTTCGTTCTAGGCAGTGAAACTGTCAGCCTGCAACAAATATAAGCGTCGTGTGTAACTATTGCCGTTTTACACCAGGAGAAGGAGGTGAAGGAGCAGCAGGATACATTGTCACAGACGCAAATATTTCAGCACCTTGCGGTCTTTATCGACCGAATAGCAAATAGGAGTGCTGGTGAGTCGCTTCAGAGACTCTCAACGTCTTCGTAGAATTTTATTGTTACAGAGTGTCAAACCCGAGACAATGAAGCATCAGATATAATTTTTGCCAGTACCAAATGGTATCCGTATGACTTTTATATGAATCTACAAACTTTCTCACTCTTTTCAATGAATTCTAAATGTTGGTTACTTGGGGAATTGATGATTCCTATGAATTGAAAAGCAGCTCGCAAACCGGAATGATCAGAATCATGGAAAAAAGGAGAGGTCGCGCCCCTCTTTCATGTGTGTCGTACGATCCGTACGTGCAACTGGGAACTTCCATGTGAAGAGCAGAGACAGGTTATAATGCAAATCCGTATGACCGACATCCAGCGACCCATCAACCGAGGAGTGCCCGCAGTCGCATAGTCGCATACTCGCGTAGTCGTCTAGCATTCTCCTTTATCTAGGACCGCGTTCATTGAACCGAGTACGGATGCACTATGTAATGCACGTCGTCTTCACTCTTTCTCCTGAATCTAATTGAATAGTCTAGGTCGTTCGCGATATCGAATTTTTATGAGTTCTCAGCAAATTCAGTAGACTTTCAATCGGAAACCTCTGCTCCCCGTTCCGTCCCGTTCCCCGACTCAAGTGCCCAAGTTCAAAACTGCTTATAACATATTCTTAACTGTTCAGCGGATCCCTTTCAAGGTCACGAAAATGGCACCGGCCGTTACAACTGCCATATCGGTGAATTACGTATCAGACTCGAACAAAACGTTTGGCCCTTTACCACCAATGTTTTTTAGCCTCTTGAGGACGATGGTAATCCTATTTTTTGTCGACTTATTCCTTTTCGTGTCTCTTGACGGTGAATACACAGTTGTACCGTTAGAAGCTACTTTTCTACTTTCTGACACGCAAGATTTACAATACTGGATGAAGATCTATACTTGAGAATCTATACTTTATAGATTTCGACGATGATATTCAAAGTGATATCTACGATATAACTGACAGTCAGGCTTATGGCGATGGATGGATGAATTCCACGTTGACCAGAATTAAGTCAGTACTCGTATTTATGTTATGTATTTGTATACTCGTAACTTACCATTAGAGAGACTCACAAAATCAACGACAGCAAAAGGTGAATTATTGAGACAAAATGCAAAAACCGACAGAGGCATATGGCGAATCGAGTCGCCCGTTAGAAAGAAACCGATCGTCCCATAGACACGCGAACCGTTCGAACGCAGGGGCCTTACGGAATAACGGAAATTTTGTTCTACCAAATCTACTGTGAAGTCCATACATATGGGTCTTGCGTGCCAGAAATCAATTGGACCAAAGTGCCAGTTGACAAGTACCAAATGATCGAATTTCTTTCTATGAGCATTAACTCTGCGTGGAATTCATTTAAGAGACACAGACTGTAAATGATTTAAAAAAATAGTAGAATGGGACCATGAATAAAAACTGCCCGGAGGCTTTGCAAGGGGTATGCTTTTGGAATATAACCGGAGGTAACCTATGACACATTTGTAAGAGGGAACTGATCTACAGGCAGATTGATCACTGTGACCAAAACTTTCAAGTGACGAAGGACCGTGTTGACAGAACACCAACGAATGAGAGTTTTTCTAGGTTTAAGTATAAACCCTTCGGCATCGGAACCGCCCGAACGAAACGTTTAAGATCGATTCCGCGGTTACTTTAGACTTACTTTCTTGTCGCTAGAATGTAGATCCTCCGGCACGTGTGCCACACATTCACGATGGTCAAACGACACTGGCACTTACACTGTACCCGGGACTGGGAACAACTGGGAACCGTGCAATCCACACCCAAAAATCCCGTCACGTTGAGCAAATACTGACACCTCACTGATAATATGGCCGCCGCCCGGCCGCCCGTCGTTCTTCAGATGGGGTGGGGCAAAATCATGAATCAACGAAATTCATCTAGATTGACTCTTCTGCTCTTCGTCAGTTGGAACTTATCGTCTTTCGGCGACCACTGTGGATTGGCCATTATGGCGGAATAAAGCTAGTGGCGGGAACATTTCATTTACTACATGGATGAAAAAATCTTTTTTTTTTTTGACTGCACAAACTACGTATGAGAGATCATTCTATGTAATAAATAAATGTGTCTGCAGTAAAAATACATATAATGAGAAATCGAAGACTCTAGAAATATGGCCCTGAGGAAGTGGCAGCTTTCTCAAGAGGCACGAGTGGCTAAAGTCAAGTATTCGGCTACTAGAACCAGCAGGAGCCAACCGTAGTGGTTACAACGGAAATACTGTTTTCATCTTAGGGAAAGTCTTTTTAATGCGCAAGTGTGATCTGTATGTGAAAAATAGGAAATGTGAGTAAAAATAATAAAGCCCTGGAAGTGATATAAATGCCAGGAGGCGATGGATCCTTGCCGAATGGTAAATCGAACCACAAGACCCCTGTAAACTGCGTATTAAAATACTTCTTGCTTACTTGTTTGTCCTTCCACTTGTCTTCTATCCAGCGATTGCTAGAATTTGCTAGAATCATATACCTAACCAAATCCTAGCTACATAACATAATCTAATTATTATTACATATGTATCAATAACCCTTGGTGCCAATAAAAAATTGTCAAAAAACAAAAATTTTAAGCAATTTTAAAGATCAACATTTTCTGAATTATAACGCATTCTCATTCTCCTTCGTTTTACTTTCCCAACGGTATTTCGATAATTTAGTCAAGATTGTCTCACAATTTCACAAACTCTTTTGCACTTATGGAATTACGTGGGTTTCCTTCGTTTTAGAGAACATGTATGCTTTTTAACAAATTTCATTTTGATAATTGCTTTCTTTTTTTTTTCGTGAAATTTTCGTATTGTATTTGTCGAAATGTGCGTAATTACTATGTCATGAACGTCTTATGTAGATACGTTCTTGTACGTTTCAGTTACGCTATTAATTTTTTAGCAAGTAGAATGTAACATTTTGTCGAAATTATTACACTGGAGCAACTATGAAGGCATTATTTTTAAAGTAACCTACGTATATTTTTTTTTAAAGTAGCATAACCTGGGGTGGTATATAACTTGATGTCTTATGTTATTGACTGTGAACTCCATGAAGTACCATGGTTAGTAATATCCCTCTTGAATGCTCCAATATTTATAGTCTTCCTACAAAAAATAGTACTATATTATTATTCGAATGGAGAATTTAATCGAGTCATCACTTGTATTATTCTTTCCATTTATCAAAGATGCAACTGCACTAGGATTCAATCTTATCACTATATTACATGCATAATCGTTTGTATTACTTTTCAAATAAAATAATAGTTGACTCTAATTATCTCAATGTCTATCATGGTTTGATGCAGGCAAGCTGGTCAAAGAAGCGTCGTCTTGGGGATGAAATTTGCATAGCAGTTGATAAATCTACATTTATAGACGATAAAAACATGTTTTGTTGGGGAAGTACTGTACACGGAGAGCTTGGTCTAGGAGGTATTGAAGCTGAAAATATCCTTTTACCTAGAGAGGTTGATTTTCATAAGGCCACACAGGTTGAACAGAGTGAGTTTTCAAGTAATTTGCATCTGATGAATTTTCATGCATTGAATTTAAAAGTACTTAAACTTTCCAGTCGCTTGTGGCGAAAACCATACTGTTGTTATAACAAATGATGGTCAGGTATACTCTTGTGGCAATAATGATTATGGACAACTTGGTCATGAAAAATCAAGAAAAAGGCTGCGTGAGTATTATAATGATTCAGTTAAATAAATCCCAAAACAGGTATATTTTACAGTTGCAATGAACTGGGTAATAATATTTTTTCTACAGAATTAATACCCGGTCTGGATGCATTTGTTTTCAAACGAGTAGCATGTGGAGCTAGTCACACGTTAGTAGTGAACGAATGGGGTCAGGTGTTCAGCTGGGGTTTAAATTCCGACGGGCAATTAGGTAAGATCAAATCATTTTGGTGACCATCTATCGATTACAAATAATTTTAGCATTTTCTTAATGTGCTTTCAATATAGGTCTCAATACACACACCCTTAATGAACGAGTTCCTCGGATGGTAAAAACATTAGGGACTAATGTGGTGATTCAAATAGCCTGTGGTCTCAAACACACTTTAGCGTTAACCAACAATGGTGAACTGTATGCTTGGGGTTCAAATAGCGAAGGGCAACTTGGTTTTGGGCCTGAAACTAAAAAGGAAGTCAAACCCAAACTTATAGCAAGTCTGAAAGTGATACCAATTGCATATATCGCTTGTGGTGGTTATCACAGTATAGCTGTGACTAAATCAGGTACGAGAAACCTAACAATAGTCAAAACACATAAACATGAACTTTTTCACCAACTAATACCTACTTAATGTATTACACAATTGTTCGGTATTACTAGCCGCTGTCTTTGGTTGGGGTAGAAATACGTTTGGTCAGTTGGGCTTGAATGACACGGACGAGAGAACTGTTCCTTGTCAATTACGGACATTAAGAAATGCCAAGGTCCGTTACGTAGCCTGTGGCGAAGATTTCACCGTGTTCATGACTATGGTAAACTTCAGTCATTTGGCAAAATTCTCCACGAATGTTCATTATGTATCGTAAGAATTCCATAAACTGGAACTTTATTTCTCAGGATGGCGGTGTGTTCACTTCCGGAGCCGGGATGTACGGACAATTAGGTCATGGAAACAATAGTAATGACATACTACCTCGTAAAGTAATGGAACTTATGGGCAGTGTAGTTACGCAGGTACATTGTATATGAGATCTTATTTTACTTGGTGTTAAGAAGCTTTGGCAATTGCCTGCGTCATGTAACAGTGTAAATGATCTGTAAAGGTTTCCTGTGGTCGAAGACACACTCTTGCCGTGGTACCATCGCGAGGTAAGGTGTACGCTTGGGGTCTTGGCGGCGCTGGACAATTGGGTACTCGAGTAGCACGAAGCGTGACTACTCCCCAAGTCGTACTTGGTCCCTGGGTTGCACCTGCTGATCAATCCTTGATAAAAATTGGCTCAACAGTTAGCCCGTACTCGGTAGATTGTGTAGTGAAACGCGTTTTCAGTGGCGGAGATCATTGCTTCGCTACTGTGACCCAGAGAAAGGCAGGTCTTGTTTAATCTATTTCAACAGTAGCACCTTTTCTAATCTAGTCAGGGCCGAATAATGTCATTCATTGTCATGCGCAGGATAACATACCGCCCGACGATTGCAGGATACTTTTACCTTCAACTCAAATTCTAATCGTGACGGAAGAACAACTGACAGCGTGCCAGAGAGTGCCCCAGAATTCGCCAGTAGATCACGACCTTTTGACGTGAGTACAAAAGTTAGTACATAAGTCTCTGTCGTTGATGTGTTATTTCCGGTATCATAGTTAGCAATGGTTAAGTCTCGTATCTTCGATGCGTTTATGCCATTCTGCGCGGACGAGCTACTTTTGATAAGCAAATTGTACAATTCTCTGTATAGATATCTCGAGACTGTATTCAGAAGTCAGGCTTGTATAAATGGCTCCTTTTTACTGTCGAATGACGCCCACTATTGCTGTTCGAGTAAACATCACGGCGTAGATATAGATCAGGCGACTAGGCTCTTTGGGATAATTTCAGAATTGGAAAATAATACAATCAAAGAATTGGTAAGCTGCTAAATTGTTCGATGTCAAAATTCCATTCCTGTAATCCTCAATGAAGATATTTGAACGGTTTCCAGATTTTTATTTGTCTGACAGAGGGGCTTATACCCTCGTTGATGCCTTCGCCACCGGATGTTGAATCTTTACGGGTATACCTGATACTACCTCTTTACCATGGTTTCTCAGATCCTTCTAATAGCAATGTAATACACAAACCATTTTCCAAAGCGGTCTTAGGCCTAAAACCGGAAGCTCTTAAGGTCGTGGGCATGTGGTGGAGTAAAGCTCCATCTCATTATTTCGAAAGGCTAGTACGCTCCTTTAAAATTGTTGTACTTCACTTCATTAGGCAGCCAAAAGTTAAAGAAAATAAGGTAATATATAAGTGGATGCTCGAGAAGACACTAAAAAAGAACCGAGTTCCATTCACTTGTAAGTAACGTTTCGTGTGGTTTTTGTTCTTCTTCTTCCGGTAGACCGTCGCCTGGGATATGACACTACAGCTCGCCCTCGATCTCCTTAGGCTACTGAATAAGCTGAATCACACTACGGACGATGGTCTTAGAGTTCCTTATGCCTCCTTCCACTTGCCGGAACTCTCAGAATTTATAGATGTTAGAATGGATTACGTTAAGTGGTTAACCGAAGAAGATCCATTTTCGGTATTCATTAGTATCTTATCAGTCTCACTACTTCAACTCTTTTCATTGTTTATCGAATGTTCCCACGTTCTTTTCAGTATCACAAAATATTCTTCTGCAATTATCCGTTTTTGTTCGACGCTCAAGCTAAGACTATATTGCTTGAAACAGATCAGGCTATTCAGATGCAATCAGCAATGAACGAGGCTGCCAGCAGAGCTATTACACACATGCTGCTCGCACCGTTTCCAGCTAACAACGTTAATGCACGGCAACACAATCAGTTTGTCATGCTTAATGTCTCTAGGGAGAATTTAGTGGACGATACTTTGAGAGAACTGTCGCAGTATGATTCGAGCGATCTCAAAAAGCCTCTCAAGGCAAGTTAAAGAAACTAGTATATTTGTCATTGCAAAGAACATAAAGATTACAAGCTGGTCAATTCTTACAGGTAAAATTTCACGGTGAGGAGGCCGAAGATGCTGGTGGTGTCAGAAAAGAATTCTTTATGCTTTTACTCAAAGAAATTCTCGATCCTAAATACGGAATGTTCAAACAGTACGAGGAGACTAGGACTATTTGGTTTTCACCGGATTCCCTGGAGAGCGAAGTCATGTACTTCCTAATCGGTCTTCTTTGTGGCTTGGTGATTTATAATTTTATCATCATCAACCTACCGTTTCCATTAGCCCTGTATAAAAAGCTACTCCATGAACCAGTTGGCCTTTCGGATATCAAAGATATGTCGCCGACGCTTGCCAAGTATGATTTGCATGCAAATTAATAGATTAATTTAAGTTTCACGTGAATTTACTCAATTCCTCTGTAGGAGTCTACAGGATGTTCTGGATTATAACGAGCCTGATATTGAAGATGTTTTTTGCTTGTATTTTGAGGTGACCAGAGAAGCCTTCGGCGAACAAAAAATATACGAGCTCATACCGGATGGTAGTAAAACTCCAGTTACGCTGGAGAATAAGTACGTAGAGAGTATTCTGCTCTTTCTGTATTCTTCTTAAGTCCTGCTACATTTTTCACGTGATGTTTTTTTACTTGCTTTTCGCCCTCGTAGGAAACAATTTGTGGATCTTTACGTTGATTACATTCTCAATAAATCGGTGGAGAGTCATTTTCAGGCCTTCCATAAAGGTTTTCACAAAGTGTGTGGGGGCCGAGTACTCGAATTATTCCACAGTCATGAATTGATGGCCGTGGTCGTTGGAAATGAAAATTATGACTGGGAGGAGCTTGAAAAGAATGCCACGTACAAAGAGGGATACACAAAAGATGATCCTACGATTATTATGTTCTGGCAGATCTTTCACGAACTTCCCCTTGAAGAAAAAAAGAAATTTCTTCTCTTCTTAACAGGCAGCGATCGGATACCAATTCAAGGCATGAAGGCTATCAAGGTAACTCTTTATGATTCTACATAATGATATTCCATTTATATGGCTAACAATGAAATTTCAATTCTCTTTTTAGATAACTATACAACCAATGTCCGACGAACGGTTTCTACCGGTTGCTCATACTTGCTTTAATTTGCTAGATTTGCCCCGTTATCAGACTCGCGAAAAATTGCGGTACAAGCTTCTTCAGGCTATTCAGCAAACTCAAGGATTTTCCTTGGTTTAATTTATTATGGAATCATAAATTGTTCCCTGTAAGGACATAGCTTAGAATCACACAAACATCAATTCAGTAGCAATCAAAAATTGCATTTAATTAGCCACGATGAAAGCAAAACCTACGGTAATTAAACGACGCGAATATAATTTGTTCGGTTCCAATTCTTAACAGACCAAAAGAAACAGTCCCAAATTTTTTTTTAAATCGTGTGAACATAAATTCAAGACGAAATATAAAAGATATTTTGACATTAATCTGCATCTCTTTTTACTATTAGGTGAAAGAGAAAATTAGCTTAACACTCGGATTATCTAGTCCATGTCGATTCAGCAGCATGTAAATTGCCTTGGAGTATGAATTAGTTTACAAAAAAAAGGATATTTATTATTTTTTATTTTATATTTAAATATGGTATGTCCTCGCGAAAATATCTACCTGGGGACTACAAAGCCTTACGAGCATTTAATTATTTATTAATAATCATGTGAGCAAATTTTCTTTTCTTTTTTTTACTACGGGATACCTCATAAGGGATGGGGATGGTAGGGCAGGGAAACAAGTTTAATTATAACTGCTCTTGACAGAATTGTGGATGATACTACTGTTTAATGGGAGGCGATTCGTATGACATATTCTATACATTGTTATATATATATATTTATATATATATAGTTATACACAAACTCACATATGCATGTATATATATATATATATTATAGATATATATACCCTCTTGTACCATCACTGATGATGGAAGGAAACAAATAAAGCGCATATAGTTCTGTACGTTGTGACACGAAAATTTTGTGAGATTCATAGAAAGACAGACTTGTGTGTAAGGATCGTTTATTTCTTTATACACGTCAATATATTACATCGTTAAGAAGTTGCCGTTAGTCTTAACAACTCTGACAGTCGTGGTTGCATCACATACAACAACAACAACAACAAAAAATACACCCATCTTCGTTTCATAACGTTTTATGCAAAGAGAAAGAGAACTACAAGGGTCGATTGGCATACACCCTTTTCAGACTCTTCATTCGAATCTCGTCGTTTTAGTCGTCCGTACGCGATTCAGGAATTATGATCCTGTTTGCATGATCTTCCTTGGTGTCGAATCATCCAAGATCCGACAGCTAGGTCGTTTCGTCAGAACGCGCAAGTCTTACGATACAAAAAGTTTGAAGATCGGTGTATCGGCGAAGATGGCATCTGAATATACGATGCTGCGAAATCGACAATGCGCACTGAGGTGCTGGTCGGACTGACTGACCGGACTGGTCCAGGTCACGGGTCGAAGTTTAAAATTGGGTAGGAAAGCGTTAGTGGTAATCGTGTCGCGCGAATCAAGCATACTACCATATATTTAAGAGGGATAATAGTTGGGTGGGACAAGTAAAACTCTAAAAGAGAAAAATAAACGAAAAATAGAAGTTTTGCTATCACGGGAGACGTTCGTAATGGATGAGGTGACGGATGTCGATAGGACTCGACATGACTTCCCTCGCACGTTTCAAGAACTCCTGGAGGGATCGCTTTCTGGCGAACGGAAGAGGTAACGTGGGGCAGCTGCGAGCAGGAACCGGAAGTCAAGAAAGCGGGAGCGGGGACACGTGCCCCGAAGCCCCTGCACGGTTTACGATTCCCGAGGGATAGTCAAGAGGAGTCCAAAGCGATGAACCCTCGCTGTTCAAGGTACGCTCGTTCAGCGAGGACGGAGTAACATCCAGACGTCTCGTGGAGGATGCCAGAGAAGGGAAGTTTGACGAAGCTGTCGACGTCTCTGCACTAGCACCCTCTGGGGTCTTACCCGGAAGGACTCTTCGCGGGAGGTTTTTGGTAAGCGAGGATCTTTTCGCTAGTGCTGATAAGCAGGGGTGAAGTATTGAGTTCCGGGTGGGGCCCGGTAACCAGGGTACGTGCTGTTCAGCGCATGCTGAGAGAAGAACCCGGTGTAATCTTTGTTGACTCGGCGGGGCCTGACGGCAGGGCCTTTTGCAAGTTCCATACGGGCCCTGTTCTCTGCCTCCGTCTGAGCTTTCACAGACGCAGGCGGCCACTTCATGTCTCCCCTCATGTTGCCACTGACTGGTGCCTTCGTAGCCGCTGGTTGTGCCTGATACACTGGTGCCGGTACCTGAACCGGTACGTAAGCGCTTTCATTAATCCTTTTTCTCGTTCTAAATTTAAGATCCGACGTACCTGAGAAATTGGTGGCTGCGGTCTGAGAGTGATGGTTGATGGCGGTGGCTCGAAAACTGGTGCCGGGCTTGCCGAGGGATACACTTGAACCGGTTGGCTCTGTGCCTGCTGAGGAGGAATACGAGACGCTTGCTCCTTTCGCTGTGGCTGCTGCAATTCATAAAAGAAAATCGTCTTATAGTGGGAAAACGTTAATGAAGAAAATTACATAAAGGCCCCGACCAAAGACTAAGGTCGTTACCAAGTTGACCAGTTGACTGCACGCTCCTCACGGGGCAAACCAACGTGGAGAATTGAGCTGCTCCATTGGACGTCACTCTAAATTCATGATGTCAGCTTGGTGACATATTTCACTGACGTACCTGGACCTGATGCTGGGGCTCTCTCCACGGGGCCTGAATCTGTTGCTGAGGAGTCGATGGTTGAGACTGCTGTTGCTGCGATCTCCAGGAAGGTGGCTGCTGAGTTTGTTGGGGTAAAGGGGATGATGCCGGCGGTGTGACTGGGGCCCAACCCTTAACTGGGGCAGCCTGCTGAAAGTGGGACGGCTGTCGAAGCGTCCCGCCGGGACTCACGGGCGACGGAGATGATGGCACGAATGTCTGATGTGCCTGGAGTTGTGGGGCCTGGCTCAACGACGGTGGCTGGGGCGACGGACCTGACGAGGGACTGCTCTGGTACGAGGCGAACTCGCCAGTTCCACGAGTCTTACGAAAGGAAAACGGCAATATTGTCTTTTGCGCTTACATCAACTCTCATGGACAAGACGGTATAATTTTGTGCTCGCTAGGCCCGGTAGCTCGCACCTCCATCCTCAGTGTGTAGTCAACCAAGAACTTGACTGATAATGGTCAACTGTCCGATAACTTGGTACAAGTCGATAGCTAACGTGCCAACGTGCCAACGTGCGAGAATCACTGAAAGTCTATTAATTTATTCTTAGATTACCTTAGCCTGGACAGGACTCTGCTCCACGTAGATGAAATCTTGATCCTCGGGTGGCGGTGGCCACGCGACTCTCTTCAGACCTGCAAGCACCGCTTCGGTCAATTCAGGTACAATGCGATCAGATATTCGAGGAGTTCACCAATGAAGATGAGAACGAAGATATTGATGGCAATGACCGATTGTGCTTTTAGGAATGGAAGCCAAGCCGAGCAGAAGCAGCCCTCGTCTCGACTAATCGATTTCGGATCGAACTATATTTCGCTTGGGAACTACGAGAGAAAGAAGCAGGCAAGTCTTGGGTGATACCTTCGCCGCGCAGAACCTTTGTATTTTGGAATAACGGGTCAGTGCCGTGTGCATATGTGCGTGCGTCACAAGAAAATCTGAGTCACGATAGTTTATTTATATCCACTCAGTAATATTACAGCACGGCAACGAGGTATTGTTCAATTAAACATTATTTTTAAATGATTTCGCGCCGTCGTTAATTTTACTCTTTCCACTAGTAACAACCACCAACGTACTTGTTTCAGGAGTATCAGGTTTCCGGAATAGTCGACAAAGATGACTAGGCTGGTGCCAAAATCGAAATCTTCGAATCCTCCAAGTTGACTTCGTATCGTGTTCACCTTTAGTTCGACGATCGCGACGCAGTCGGCTCCCGTAGCTGAATCGAAATGCGAGAGGTGTACGGATCTCGCGTGTGTTAATTGAAAGAGCAACGCGAGTTGCGTCACGGCGCACACAACCGACTCTAGCAGCAGCCTTATGTCTCCGAAGGTACGAGGGTTCTCGGGCCAACGACTACAAGCCGAAGTTCTCTTGGATTATGTGACGATAGAACGAAAAGCCGCGGGAGCCAAGTTTATATTTGAAGATTATTCCCACGGATCGGAAAGATATTGCGCGGGTCCCGTCCTTGCGTGTATCTTTAGTCCAAATTTTTATATTACACCGGAATTTCGAAATTTCGAGGCCGTCACACCCGAGTGCCTATCGTCCCGTAGAGTATGGAATGTCCTACCGTCACGGTCACGTCACAGAAAGGTAGACGTCGGTCACGGGAAACTGGATACCTGGATATTTGTCTACGTTTGCGTCTAGCGAGTCTCTTGCGCTCGAACGCGCATGAATAACGAAAGTGAAAAAAGTCTAATGTGAAATCGCAACGTACCGAGGTTTTGGCAAAAGGCGGTCGATTCAGCGTCAGCCAACTACTACCCATGAGGTCCACTGGTTTCCACCTGTCCACGTTACCCTTTCATTATAACGCGGCCAATTTGGTCAGAGCTCATAAAGCTTCCTTCAGAGCCGTGGAAGGGGCGTCCAGGGAGTCATGGAGGGAGGAGAACTTTATCGTGGGTTCTACCGGGGGAGGAATTTTTTTCAAAGACGCCACAATGACGATGATGACAGCTATTATGATGGCAGTGACGCCGCTAACGGAGTCCACCGACAATGAGCCATCATCGTGGGTGGGTTACCTGGGCCCGGGTGCAAAAGTAGGCGACAATAACGTCCGTCGGGGGGGCAGAAGGGGGGCCAGCACTCGCGAAGGCGACTTCGCGGCCTCAACAAACGACGAACTTCCGGCGTGTTCAGGATGAGCTGGACTTCCGGCGAACCTTCGGAACCCCGAAGCGGATGGACCAAAGCAGAATTTAAAGAGCAGCAAAGCGTCAGGCTTCATTAATTCGCAGCTAAGCGCCGGTTAGTCAGCTTCTCGCTTTCCGCTACGTTAAGTCTCACTACTATCGTACTATCTTTTCAATTTTTATCTTCTCTTATCTCCACAGATACACCTGGACCAGGATCATTAGCCGATATACACACCAGGCTAACATCCTACATAGCTCGTAAAGTCTCTACGAGTCTGGCGCAGCTCGGACATCCTGCCAATTTCTCACGAGACAACAGACACGAGGTCCAGAAGCTCATGATTCGACGTGCAAATAAAAATGAAAGCTTCCACGTAATTATTTAGCGATGACTTACTGCCTTGTCCACCACGTTGTCTGGCCTCCTCCTCCTCGAGCATACGCAGAACCGCGCTGTTCTGCAAATTCGACGGTTTGGCCAACTGATTGAAGTCGATTCTGCAAGAAAGCGCGAAAGAGATGCGTGATCGCTGCTCGCACTTACGAGTTTGCAACTTTGCGCCATAGCGACTGCCTCAATTAGAAATAAAGAATTACCTCTTATTTCCAGAAATGGCCGCCATTACGCGGAAAGCGGGTATATCGAGTTTAAAGCGGAAAATAAATTAAGGACACGCACACGGACACGACTGCCGCGACTACCGCGCCTGGCTATTCTTCGTCAGTCCTCTCGAAGGTAAGTCGGCAGCACTGACTGAGAAACTGAGCCATCGGCTGAGAAACTAAGTCAAGTACAGCAGCTTTGCGCAACGGCGCAGCCAGCCGTTTATCTCTAACCCGAGTGATTCATGCCTCTGAAAATAACGAATTGCCAATGATGCTCGAGAAACCGCACGGACCAGTGAATCATCCGTGTTGTCCGTCAATCGAAACGCCAATAGTACTCGTTGTCACTGACACGTGGGGAGCCAGTCAAGCCATGCCGTCTCCTTCGCCTTCCGCAAGGTGGTTCTTCTGGCGAATACGTAACCGAGATACCATCGCGTCCGACAACTTCCTGTTTATTTGCTTACCTTCGCTCTCTTATTTTACATGTCGAACGCGCATGGATACACAGGAGACACGCCGAGGACACTTACCCGACTGCACCGTTGGCGAGAACCTGGGTCTGCCGGTCCAGCGTCTCCTGGATCGATTGCTTCGAGTAGAGATTGATCGGCGAATTGAATTGCTTGTTCACGAACTTTGGCCCCTGGCCCGACATTTTCGCCTCCCTCTTCGTTTACTGCCGCTGCTTTCCTTCGACAACTGCAATCAATGATCCGTCGATTATTAAACACGTGGAACTTTAATTCGCTTACGACCCGACACCCGCAGGGGCCTATTGACACTTCACTTGGTACGGAGGAGAGTCTAAAGTGACGGAGTCAAGTATTAGAGGGTGAGCGGAGGCTGACGATTTTAAGCGGCGTCACGTGAAAGTCATCAAGTACGAGAACTCTGAAAGCATCACTTCGGAATGTTTGGATACTCGAGAAGTCAGCGGATGAGTCGGCCGGAGTATTCTGGAATCTGTGCCAGGAAAACAGAGGCGCGAGACCACCGAGTAGAAAAATAACAGTGAGAAAAATAGAAGACGCGGTCCAACGTAAAATCCTCGAATATCTTATGGCTCTGATCATTTCAGCAATCAAGTACACGGAGGCGTATCTCCATCCAAGTTCAATGACTTCCATGTACTTTTCTTAAATAACGAAATAGCGTTTATCATTCGCCGAGGAAAATTTGCATTCGACGTTAACGGTTACGTAATCCGGCCTTTTGGAGGTTAACGACTTTACCGGCTTCGCTCGTGAATTCAATGGTGATCGGTCGGTCGGTCAATATCCCAACGAAGCGCGAGACAGGAACTCGATGGAGCCTCAGGACGCAGTTTGTGCCGTTTGTTATCGACAATCGAACCTGGTAATGAGTATGGAGGTAACGAGTCAAGTCTTTAATGATTTCGATGATTCTCCGCGTTTATCAACTGTTTACAGAAATACAGAATTCTTCTATATCGAATGCGATACACTTGGATCTCCATATCTCGCGACGGATCATCCTGTGAAAGACAATGCCGAAAATAGTCTCGGCAAGTACTACTTCCAGGTACGTGCAGGGCATTCTCAAGATAGGGATCCCTCCCCAATTGCAGCTGTGTGGGGTTTATCGAATTCTACTCGAAGAAAAAAAGAAAGAAAGGCAATAAGAATAGCGGACCAACGACTGGCGTAGATTTAATTAGAGTGGATCGGTGTGAATGGGACGCAGGTAGAAGTTCGACTTGCGGCAGTAGTGATAATCGAGGATATCGTGGAAGAGGCGTCCCTGTTGAGTAGCCACGAGTGGCCCCACCACGGTTATTTTTGCTACGAAATTCCTCCGAATATATCTACATCTCGCGCAAAATCTTCGCTTCCCTGTATATCCCTCCTTCCGTAGATCTTTCCATCGTGCTGGTGAACTAGCGCTCGGATTACGTCTCGCGGGGGTCCACCCCGAGGATTCCAACACGGAACCAAACGGATTGATCTCGGGTTCATCGAGAACCTCCACCCACTGCCTATATTTCTACCATACAGCCGGAACGTGATAGGCAGTGCCCGATTATTTTTAGTGGAAAATAAATTTTCTTTGTAAGTAATAAAACAGTCATTAAATTTTTTCTAGCCGAAGATAATTGTCCTTTGTTCTCTCTTCTATTCGCAAGGTCATAAGGCTTCCGAGGATATAATATTATAGGCGTAAAACAAGGGTACGTCGTAAAAAACGCAAAGGTCCTCGTTAAAGAGACTCGTTGAGATAAGATGAACGAGAGGCAAATACATTGGAGCGATGGGATGAGACGTTGAAAAAGTGTGAACAACGAAAACTCCGGGTCAGCGTATGACGCGTGTGACACTTTAGGGTAATTGAGCGCGACGTTCCTCCCTGGACACATAGAAGAGACCCGCATAGTCTCCGAGTGGTCGAAGCTGGTTTCACATCGGACCCTGGACCCCCTCCCCCCTCTCGCAGAACCTTCAAACCCTTTTTCTTTTATTTAATGGTCGACAAGGTAAGGCGAGCACCTACCTTAACGCACCTACCGTAGAGCTCGCGTTCTCACGAAGGTGGAAGACACTAAACTCAAAAGTGAACGTCGAAGAAACGTCTGGACCCTTCTCCTCATCTTCCTGCCTCTCTAGCCTCTTCCCGACCCCTCCTTCACGCCACTTCGTTCCCCTTGTCGCGTATATAGTTCTACACTTCTCCACTTCGCGTGCAAGTTATTTTCGGCCCCCCCCTGAGCCCGCTTCCACCACCGCTGCCATCACGCGTGTCTTCTGGCAAAGCAAAAGTCTTGTTTCCTCAAGTTTTCTAAAAATTCATTGGTCGATGTCCCACTCGTGTTTCTCACATAAAATTCTACTTCACCAATCCTCCTTCTCGTTGACCTGCTGAAACATCGGGAACGAGGAAAAATTTTGAAAATCTAAACACGGCCTGGGATCGTTTCGAGGAATTTTGATTAATGTGCTGGATTCTTGTGGGGTGGTCGAATAGATATGAAAATTGACGTAATTGATGGCTCTGCCAGGTGAAATTTCGCCAGAAACTCACGGCCGGTTAGTATCGCAAAATGCGCAACACGGATGAGCAAGAGTATAACAAGCGGTAACGTAAACCGATCCAAAATAAATAATCCGTCCCAGTGGGCGGACAGTAATAGATAGATTTCATATATATGTATATTTTTTTAGCGGTAAGTAGAACAATTCGCTTATCCCGAAGACTTTGTTGGAATCATGATTCCGATTACAAGACTGAATTGCGAATATCAGATTCCCGCCGTGTCTTTTTTTTTGACGTGTACAAAAATAACCGCGTCCACCTAACGGAGCCGCTTCGGTGGCAGAGGTGGTTCTATTATCAGGATTCTTGGTTATTTTCGACGATCGTGAAAATGTTCTTGAGCATCCTCGCAAAACATGTGTTCAGAAGTGCTAAATTCACCTTTTATTTTTGATTTCTTGTTCTTTACTTAAAATTAACATATCTACTGTGTTCTCGCAGTAAGTAATTTCCACAATCAATTATGACTGAAATATACTTTGTGGAATGCTCCAAAAAGAAAAAAGCACAATATAGAGGCTATGTCGTAGCAGCAATATCATTAAAGTGAATCGCGAAGATTAAAGCGGAGAGGACAGACACGTACGCTCCTACACGTCATCGATTCCGTGGTCGGTCTTAGATTTTCACCCGTCGATATTGCGCCGCTCTAACGTAAACGAAAAACGAGAGAAACAGCAGCCGAGACGAGTGCGTAGCGTCGTGACGCTCTGTGCGTTACTGCGAATTAGCGTCCTGTTTCGTGGCATTCGGCTGGTTCTTCCTTATCTTCTCATTGTCAGCGTCGGAAGGGTGGAATGCACAGCCGGTTAACGTTGTCTCGATTTGCAAAAGTATATTTGGGGAAAGCGAAAATCCGAGGGCGGTCACGATAAGAGCGCACCACTAGCAGGACGCCACAAGACGCCAATAACAAGCGAAATCGTTTCCCGCCGTTGGGAAGAATGGAAAATCAATAATAGTTCCCGCTTTTATCGACTACGCCGGTGGCGGCGCGACAGTCGCCGACGTAGCGTCTCTTGCTCGAAGCCAGTTTCGCGCTCTCCGTTGCACAGCTTGGCTGACTGGTTCTGCTTCCTTTGGATTGGGACGGTTGGATAGTTGGCTCTTGCCGGTTTTGTCCCGACGCGGCCATAATGCCCTCGTAGCACAGCGCCTCGCCATAGTAGTCGCCACCGCCGTCGCCGCCGCCGCCGCCGCCACCGCCGCCATTATAGATCCCGTTGTGTGTGACCGAGCCGTGGGACGCTCACTGTTTTCCATCGGAAAGCTCGAATTTACAACTTGTGTTTTGAAATTTCGTGATTCTCGTGGTACCTGTCGCCCTCAAAGCAATGAAAACGTACAGCAGAAAGAAGGGCGACAGCCCGAGCAACGTCATTATTCATGTGAACGAGCTGTGCCGACTGTGCTTGGCCAAGGAGGAAGAGATGGTGCCGATTTTCGACGACGACGCCGTGCCCCTGCCTCTGCGAATTATGGCCTGTGTTCATCTCGAGGTATGTTCCTGGCATCTATTCTGTGCCCACTTGGCATCTTCGTCGTCTTCTTCGCTGCCTATTCTCAACTCCCACGGACCGCCGGGGTAGCTTTCATTGAAAAATAGGAATCTAGTTTATCTCTCTACGCTTGATTGTCCTTATTTTTCTGCCGTCTGTGTGCGAATCTGCGTGCGTGTTCCTGCAGGAAGAGCGTGTACGTGCGCATGAACGTACACAGGAAACACAGAACACACTGCGCAAAGCAACTACCGTCTTTACCGAGTTATCGACTTTACACGTTCTGCGTTACGCCACCTTTCCTCATCGCTTATTGCAGGAATCTAGACTGTACTCGCGGCTTGCTCAAACGTTTACCCTATGGATTTATAGAGATCTGTAATGCTAGATACATTTGCCTGTAATACTTCATTTCGATATTATGTACCAGTGTACCTATGTCCCTCCTACTGTGAAATCCTGATAGTCGCCCACTCGCTCGTTTCATTAGCCTACTGCGACCCCCACTAGCGATCGCTCCTATACAATCTTAGATCCCTCACATTCAAGAGTTCAGTAGTCGTGCTAATTTTTATTCACATGAACTGCAGTCGTTCCGAGAATCATGTACCTGTTAGGCTTCATTTATTTTTATTAATCATTTAGACGGAATGCTGCTGAAGAAAAAATAATGCCATCTCAAAGGTGTTATATATGCCCATATTTACTGCTCATTTGTCATTTATCAGTTAAGGGACAATCGAATTAGTTCAAAGCTTTTCTATAATTACTACTTTCAGGTTTACGAAGATGATGGACTTCCCAACATGATTTGTCATCCGTGTAAATACCAACTGGAAAAATCGTATCAGTTCAAGAAAAAATGTGAAGCAGCTGATACAAAACTCAGGAAACATATGAAATTGATTCAGCAACTTACTGGACACGAAGAGGAGGAAGAACGTGAAGAGGGAGCTGAACAGGACTCTAAAGATGCTTCTGGTAGCGGGAAATCAAAACAAGTAAAACAGCTTTTGGCTGATTTGGTATCAAGTAAGGGTGACAGTGGCCAGGCTGATGGAGATCCTATCCAAGTTACCGAAGAAGAACTCGTTGGAGGATATATCCTTGGTATGATTCAATTTCATATTTATTGAAGAAGAGTTGCAACATATTCAGATGATTTTCTTCTTTCTTCAATATTACTTGGATTCGCTTTTAAGTTCACCATTATCTATCCTTAGGAATGGCATCAGAGAATCCTGAAATGGATGAGACCATGTCTGAAGGCCCTGAGAACATTACCCTGATACCTGCAGAAGAAAGAACAGCAAAGGCACGCTGCACCATACGCACTACGCGTATAAAACAAGAACATGAATCAGAAGACGAAGCTGAGGAAGTGCAACGTGCAATTGCTAATGCAGATCACAAGAATGTCTATATGATGGAGTTGACAAGCAACAGTTCTGGCCAGGGCGAGTCTCTGAAGCTTCAACCGATACATCAAACGATAAGTATGTGAATAATAACATAGTATATACTACCATTCAGTCATACTATTCCGCTTTGTTAAGCCACTTTGTAAAATCATGATTCTATTTATGGCTAAAGCTGGCAGCGAGGAACTGAAAGTATTTCAGTGCGACAAGTGCCCTAAAGCATTTACACGAAGAATAATGCTAAAGAGTCATCAGTCTGTGCACTCGACTCAAAGAGGATTCACGTGTCAGGCTTGTGAGAAATGGTTCCCCACTCGGTCAGCTTTAATAAGACATGAGAGAACTCACACAGGTACTTATATTTTCATTTAAGTTTTTCTACTTGTGACTATCCCGTTTCAATGTAAACATATATAATCCTTAAAATTATTATTGCAAATCATTCCGAGGTTTCAGTGCATAATATAAAGAAATTGTGAAATCTGTCAACAGGTGAAAAGCCCTTTGGCTGTAACATATGTCATCGCGCCTTCGCCCAAAAGGAAATTCTCCTGCGTCACTTGATGACGCACTCTGGCCAAAAACCGTTCCAGTGTCAGCACTGCGAGAAGAGTTTTACACAACGCGAGGCCCTCAAAGTACACATGCGTCGCCATCAAAAATTGAATCCAAACGATATTCAGCTGCATCACTGTCAGCTCTGTCCGAAAGCTTTCTGCCACGCTTCCGGTCTGAGCAGACACTTGGTCACGCACACGGGCAGGACTTACAAATGTGTCGAGTGCGAAAAATCATTCACGGATAAGAGCTCACTCCTGAGGCACAGTCGCATTCACGCACCCAAAAAATTGATTACGAACTGAAGGCCTGAAGTAATTGTAATCTAATAATATCAAATAAGTCGACAGACGATGAATCATGTTCATCAATTTATTTTACGCTAAGAATCGCGTTATCTATACATTTGCACGAGGGTTCTCTGCACACATAGAGTATCTCTAACATTCGGTAACTCGAGGAGTCTGACGAACGTTTTTTCTTACTTTTGTTAAAAATTCTTTATTTTTTAGGAGATTGCTAGATTTTTAGATGGGGTTACTTGAATATATTTGAGGGACTGATAAGATCGCTAAAGTCATGGTACGTAACAGGATCATTTATTCAGTTTAAAAAAGAAAAGAAGAATCCAAATGAATTATGTAACTGCGTGACTTTAGCTATCTTCCTGATTCCTTAAAGGAAAATACAACTCGGTCCCAGGACCAAAATAAATTTATTTTTAAGCGCTCGCGATTGTGTTAACTTTACGGTAAAGTGGGATACAATAAAAGCATTTTTATCCGCGAAGACTTTCTTAATCGGTCATCACTGAAATGTTTGTGCACTTAACTATTAATAGCACCGTACAATTAATCCTTTTTTTCGTACTATTTTGCCTTCTGTATTTTCATGCAATGGGACCGATGAGTGCGCTGAACAGAAGATTCAGGTATCACGTACCTTCATCGATTTATCGTGTATATATCTATAAATATGAGAGTTTTTAAGCTACTCAGCTGAAAAATTTCCGAAAGAAAAAAATATACTGAGAAAAGTTATACGAGGAAAGAACGTAAGCCGGAAATTTCCCTGCTGTATAGGCAATATGTATATTTAGTATAACCGTGGTAATTTTTATGTCATTCGAATACAAAAACGTGTACTTGTCTGTAGAAACGCGTAATTGTAATAATAAAACTATTATTGTGTAAGCAACTCTGTTTATTTTCTTTCTATCCAACTGAAATATCCGGACCTACCAAGGCTCATTTCGGTTGCCCGTTTCCTCTTAGTATAATTAATCATTTTGTAAGAGTATAAAATACGGATGAGATATGCGATTCTATACAGACAATTGTCTAATATAATGATTAACTTCAGTACTTTGATAACAGTGAGTTGCGAAAACAGTCAATACAGATGATATATTTTAACAGATTGAGAGTTTGCAAATTGTACGTCGTTACGTGGAGTTTGCCAAATTCTTTTGCCACGTTTAACGCATGAAAACAAAGAGAAAGTCATGTCATGATCTGGAATCTACCAGTTCGCCGTACATTCAATGAAGCTGTTGCTAACAATAAAAATAGATATCGAGTATGAATGTTACGAAGCAGCCAAGTCTGAGTGGATTAAATTGCGTATTTATGAAATAAAGGAAACTGTAGTTGTTTTTTCTTAAAAAAAATCTTTTTCTTTTATTATGCCTACTATATACGATGGTCTTGTGCATTTTTACATAATTATTCATCTCTCATTCAAGGGTAAAGTTTCCTTGGTTCGATAATAGAGGTTCGGTGTAATTCGACTAAATACGGTTTCCTCCAAGACGCTTAACAATGATAAACTCTATTTTTGTGTAACACAATTACAAAAAAAAAAGATTACTTCATTTTGCATAATTCGAGCTCCGTCGCACGTGCGATCTGTGGTTGATCTCTGCATTATTATCAAACTGTTCTGATCGATATTTCGCATGCATGTTGTATGTTTATCAAGGGTTCTTTCACACTGTATCCTTCCTTTCGTACTCCTTCATTGTTTCCTGTTTTCCATTTGCCTTGAAAACTTCTCGGGAGACTGTCCTTCGTTCACGTGATACTTCCGCTTCTTCAACCTAAACTGGTTGATATGGATCAAGCAGGAAATGAACCGTAGCAGCGCTCTGATCGCAATCTTCTGATTTTAAATTAAATAATTAAGACAATTCATATTTGCGCACTGTGTCTAACACTTGCTCGGGCAGTTCTGAATGCGACCAGAGACTCAGGCCCCCAATTAATTCGACGTGTTAGTTTACTAAGAATACGCTTTTCAGGCGGTCTTACGTTTCTTTCTTTCTTTCGTCTTCATTCTGGCTAAATTCGTTCGGTTCTTTCACAGAATCGTGTCACATCTGCAGTTCCTCGTTCAATTTACCGATGCAGAGTTAAAGAGAAAACGCGATGGCACGCGCGTTGAAGGCTCAATCGACTAAATTTTACTGGTAACGAATCGCTCGCGAATGAATTGTTATAGGTGTCGTGACACTCATGAACCGTGCATCTTTAAGTGTATATAATAATAAAGATAAAGTTCGAATTGCATTTGGGCGTACTTTTCTTCTTCTTCTTCTTCCTCCTCTTCTCGATATGACCTTTCCCGAACAATTATGGCTACTAAAATGGCTAAGGTTCTAGACGAGATAGATGTCTTTAGTTCAAGTATCGCTAAGAGGGCGACGCCAGGAACGTGTCGATGACAATGACGATGACGATGACGATGACTACGACTACGACGACGAAAAGAACGAAGCCAAGAATTTCAAGCGTCCTTGTGCATTATTCCTTTGCATGACACTGTTCCTGCATCACTCCTATAGCCATTACTCGTATTTACGCGCTACACAACGAGACATTTCACTGCCGATACATATAATATATACAGACTTAGTTACTTATTCGGGCGGTACTTCGAAGATAGGATTTCAAGGGACCTCATAATAAAGCTCCGTGCATTCTTTTATTTTCTATTTTTCTCGACCATTGTTGCCCATCGAACCGTAACTCCGAGGTTCCCAATCCGCTGCCGACACGATTGCCACATCCGCTTCCCCTTTGCGTAATCCTTCAGATACTCGTAACTCCGTCTCTTCTGCTGGACTTGCATGGAGATCGCGCTAATTTGTACTAACTGTTCCGTATCCGCAAGGACGAGCAATGGAAACCTCCTTCTCTTGGAATCTCTCACTTCCTGTTTTTCTTTTGGTCGCTGACATCCAAGAGTCTGCCTCAGACGATAAAGGACGAATGGCGACGCGACTGAGCGATCTTTTTCCTGGTCGTTCAGGTCGGTTAGTCGTCTGTTGGTTTACAGCGCGGAGGTTTGGGAATATTCCGGGAAGAAGTTACGAGATACACGGTTACTTAGAGAGTCGAAAGGTTTTTAAATTAAGAAATGACAAGTGGTTTATAGATGATCCTCTGATCAATCGAGAATCAGAGACTTGGGCTGTTCCCAAGCGAAGCCATCGCGACCGAAATGACCATATGTGCTAGTCTGTTGGTACATTGGATTGCGTAACTTTAGCTCCCTGCAAAAAGCGTTCAACAATTCAATTTCTGTGCAAAATTTTTCACAGGAGTTCCGCATTACAACATCTTACCACTATCGTTTCATACATACTTGACAATTTTTCCAGGGCGTAGGTCGAAGTTCTTCCGCACGATCTCCAGCAACTCGTTCTGGGAGAGTTTTGATGTCCCGTAATCGAAGACCGTGATGGATAGTGGTTCAGCAACACCGATAGCGTATGAAACCTGAAACCGAATTCAGACAAGCCATTCAATCATATTTTGTTATACTATCTCTTTGCATCGCGCTATAAACTCTCTTGAGCTAACCTACTCTATTTCATTCCCTTGCCGTCAATTTCATTGCATTACATAGAAAGCTGTGATAGAGCAATATTGAAAGAAATCTTTACCTGGACAAGGCAGCGTCTGCAAAGGTCAGCCTTTACCAACGATTTAGCGACCCATCTTGCAGCATAAGCAGCAGATCTATCAACCTTAGTGAAATCTTTGCCGGAAAAAGCGCCACCACCATGGGCTCCCCAACCTCCGTATGTGTCGACGATAATCTTACGACCCGTGAGTCCAGCATCACTCTGAAACAGAATAGCAAGAAATGCATTAGCAGTTGACTTATTGAAATAATCACGTGAACGCGATATCGCGGGGATTTTCAAGTACATTTGCAAAGTTAAAAGTTTCTTGTTTTCCTCGGTTAATCCGTGGCGAATATTTATAAGTTTATCCTCTCGTTCCCCGACTACCACGATCCACTCCGACCTCCTGAGAGCCCGTCTCTTCGTTAACGATGGAGTTAATCACGTAACTGAGTTATCATCGACGGGAAACAAAAAGTAGGGGAAAATGAAGAGGGCAACAAATGGTGCTCCCTCCTCCTTGGGAGGAATACAACTGGATCGATAAGATTGACGAGCTAACAAGTGACATGCGCTCTTTGATCTTGGCAATGTCGTCAGTCCACGATCTCAGTTATGTTTTGAAGTCTTAATGCCGATGAACGATGATGCATTAGCATTGCATGATCATTTCTGAACACAGTTCGAATGAGATGGTCAAATTCTTACGTGTTATCATCCCGACTGCGTTCAATAAAAAAAATTAAGAAATTATGAAAAACAAGGAAATTAAAATTGTCATAAATGACACGATGAGCCATAACTGAGCAGATTTATTATTAATTTTTTTCATAGTTCACCTGTGGCCCACCGATAATGAACAACCCGCAAGGATTCACGTGGAAGATCGTTCTCTCATCCAGATATTTTCCTGGAATGACTTCCTTGATGACTTTCTCCATGACAGCCTTCCGCAGATCCTCCAGGGTGACCTTCTCGCTGTGCTGCAGGGACACGACCACGGTGTGCACTCTGACAGGCACGCAAGCTCCGTGGTCCATTATGTACTCGCAGGTAACCTATGGATTTACAAAGATCCGTATGACGTAACTTGTAAATCATTGATATCATTGCCGTTGACAGTAATCAGGGAAAGATCCGAAGTAGCCAAAGAAGTCGCCTCAGACATGCGTTATCATCATGGCATTCAAGAGTAGCAAATACATTAATAGAACATCATTGAACGCTTCCATGGCTTCTTTATGTTATAACTGTGGAGATGATTTCTCAAATATTCTTTGAAAATCAACGATGACGTACCTGAGTCTTAGAATCCGGCCGAGCCCACCAAAGTTCACCGCTTCGTCTGAGTTCAGCGATCTTCTGGTTCAGCCTGTGCGCCAGAACGACGGTCAGCGGCATACATTCTTCAGTTTCATCGGTGGCGTAACCGAACATCAAGCCCTGTTTACATGATAAATGACATTCAATCTGATTGTTAAGTTAACTTTGAACGATCGCCGTGTACTCGTGCTCTCTTCGTCAAAATTATAATTTAGGAAGACCGCGACGATCGCGCGATAAATTGTAAAGCATCCTTTTAAAGTCAGAGAGCACGAAACACATGCGATCGCACGGGATAAGATCTAGATCGATCTTATTGTTGATGGAGATTACAAAGATATATTGCAAACGCTAAATCAAACATAAAGAGATACTACGAAGCATGCATAAAAATAAAGGTGCCTAACAGAGCAGAGTAGAGCAGCGAAAAGGCATTTATTTGACACGGGATACAGCTCGGGAATAGAACTTGAATATTTAAATAATCGAACGTTCTCAAAGGAATAAGACATTTTATCTTTTCCTTGTAGGCATAATACATATGCTTCAAGTTCCATGCCAAAGACGGTGCTAGTGTGAAAACGCAGAGGGCTAGCGAACTATTAAAGAAAAACTGGCATGCACACAAGAAACAGAGTTATCGGAAAATCAAAATACGTTGCAATTACGGAGAGTTTAATTTCTAGTGGAAAATTAATAATTAGAAAACGCACATAATGATATTCTTAACCAACTCGGAAGTGATAAAACGGAGTAGATCACAACAGCGAGGGCGATTATAGCGACCACACCATCTCTACGTAAATAAACCATCCACCACTTACAGTTACGGTAATACGGAAGCTTAGCTTTTACATGTTGTAGGATTTTTTTGGGGATTGGATTCGACCGAAACCAAAAGGACTTCGTATCTACGACTGAGGTGCGAGTGAACTGTGCAAGATTTAATACAAGTGATCTATTGGCAAAAGGCTATTTACATTAATGATGACTATAGACGCGTGCTCTCAGCTGGATTAGTTACAAAAGAAAAAAAAAAAAAAAAGACAAGAATCATTATCTAGGCGTAATAGAGAAATTCAGTTCCATAAGCAGAACGAGAAACAGTGAGAATAAACACAGCCAAGAGAAAAAGAGAACTATACAAAGATAAAGACATAGAGGGATGAGATCATATTGCCAATTGACCTGATCGCCAGCGCCAACCTCCTCGTCGCTGCGGTTCTCATGAACGCCAGCTGCGATATTCGATGATTGGGTATCAAGAGCCAGCAGGACATTGCAGAGCTTGTAGTCAAAACCTGCAGGAAATTGGGGACGTCAGCTATAAGAACGTATTCGCTAACGCGTCTTTCAAAAAGACTGAGGTCGGTAATAAAACGAAGGCAATAGAGATCTCGATGGCCTCGTGACGTTTGGTCGCGCAGACTTTCATCTTGGATCAAATCACAGATCCTAATTTCACTAGACGCATTCGATAAGATCATCTAAAATGATGGCTCGAGGCAGGACGATCATGTA